ACAAAACAGCATCTATGTGTAAAACTCATAGACTGTATATAAAAATGTCCGACACTCCCTTAAATCAATGTCTGTTTTGCACTTTAGCCGGGAAATATTTTTACAGTGATTGTCATTTAATGGAAATTTGAAGGCAGATCTTTCAGTTTGTAGCACCACATGGAGAAGAGCTTTTTAGACATTTGTTCATAATATGGTTTGTGTACTTTTATTTTGTATCTGCATACACACCCATCTCTTTTTCATGTTAAATGTCCTGTTTTAGCTAAATTGTTTTAAAGCAGAAGTTCAACATTTTGGGAATGAAGCGCCTGATGAAATGATTGATACCACTCTCACAGTCAGGAGCCAGTTAGCTTAGCTTAGCAAAAAGACTTGACAACAGATGAAAACAGCTGGCTCTACCATTTTATTAAAGTAAATGTGTTTTACTGAATTTGTAAAGAAATGTGTTAAAATATATTAATTTGTGAGCTTAAGAAGTGCTGTAGGCAGATCTCTTTGTGCTAAGCTAGCCAGGTACTGGCAAACAAGTCGTATCAATCTTCTCATCAAACTCTAAGCAAAAAAGCAATTAAGTATATTTCCCAAATATTCCTTATCTAGTTTAGTACACTATGACATGGGTTTTGTTGCTACAGCTTTATTTGACCAGGTATAACCATAGACTGAGCTTATGGTGGCTAAGTTAGCAGACTAAGATACCGCTGCATCACACTACATGCTAACATTTTCTTTTATCTTGTAATGGTTCCTACATTTTTTCACAACAGACATTTTGACTTGTCATTGCAGGTAAAACCGAGCTGTTATTATGATCAAAGTATTAATAATGGCTCTGTTCTGTTCAAGTGCCACATTAAGCCATGACAGTTTGATAGCGAGCCGACTCGCACATAACAAGACGCTGAAACTGAAGCAGCTTAATGGAAATCACCCATCATTCATTTCATTATTTTTATCTTTTATTTTTCCTAATGTGACTAAATGTCTTTTGATAAAAAGACATATGACTGCTGCTCAGCTATGGTTGTGTGGGCTCACTTTAAGGCCAGATTTATTGTTTTTTCAACCAGTTCTGCTAATTTCTAAACATGGAAACAACCTTTTTTATTATTAATTAGCTTGGCTTGTAAATTCTTAAAGGCGCTGCTGTCACACCCTGCAAGATGAGGTAGTACAGTATAGCTACTGGCAAAACACTCAGATGTTAACAAGGGAAGACGTCGGTTATAAGATTAGGATGGGTGACAGGAATATAAAAATGGAAAGTTGGTTGGAGAGTCTAGAACAAAAGCGATAATTGAAAATTTGAAGGTAAAAAGTGAAAAGAATGTGAAGCCCTCACATGCAAATCCCATAAAAACTGAAATAATAACATTTTGTGAGAGAAAACAAACCTGTCACATCTAATATTTCACAAAAAGTCCTTCAAATCCACAAACAGCGCCACACAGCTGGGATTTCTAATGATTCACTGAACACATATGAGCTCAGTTCATGCCCCCATGTACTGTATCTGTTACTATGTCTTGAGAAGCTGTTTACAGATGACCATGCAACATGTTCGATCTCTGCTTTCTGCTCTCCTGCTGTCTCTGTGGCTTCTCCTCTCTTCAGCCACATTCAGCCTTTATCCCCTTCATAAACAAACCAGGCACTATTAAGACACTTCCCTCCGTTTGATCCTGCAGTCTGGAAAACTGCAACAAACAAAGTCCAACAAAACCGCTCCGAGACGAGAGTGCAGGGGCTCCGCCTAATGAAAGTTACTGACGTGACACTTGACGTCGTCTAAGCTCAGCACCGTCCCCTGGTCGTTGTTGTTGTTGTTGTTGTGCTTGTGCTTCTTATCAGAGCAGCGACACAACTTGTACTTTATCACCTGCAAGGGTCAAAAACAGAGCAGGTCACCTACAGTATTTTGGGGCTCAACAAAGGTTGTAGGAAAAGAAAGATATGACAAATGCTGAGGTAATTGATCAACAATGCATATTGAAAGGTTTCTCATTTTTTGTTAACCTTTCAATTATATACATTGCAAAAAAACTTTTTAATTGTAGTTTCGAAATGAAATTATGAAAAAGGCCTTTTCCACTTTCATTGAGTATTTTATGTTTCCTTTGTTCATTTCCAGAATTGTAACCCTTTAAATGCCAATTTCTTTCATATCAAAAAGCTCTAAAACTAGTAGAATCTGCTCATAAATTACAACCACATGTACTTTTATTTGCTCCCTGAAAGCTGCTATAACACAAAGCAAATATATATGACCTTTGTGTCCAGTAGCTACAGCTCTGCATCTAGTAAATACTAACATGCATCAGGATATATTTAAATGTAATATATTTCCTGAAGAAGCCTCACCTCATAAAGGTAGTCAAATATCTCCAGAATAGTGAGTATGCTTGCTCCGATGAAAAGTCCCATCTGACCGCCGATATCACCTGGAATAACAGCATGCAAGCGGATAAAAAACATCCTCTACATCAACATCAGAAAGAGAATCTGTCTTCAGTGTATAAAGAAACAAATGTACCTAACAGTCCGGCCACTTCATAAGCTTTCTTCTGTTCAATGGTTTCATAGTTGAGGGCTTCAAAAAAGATGTCCAAAACCATAATATTCTCTCTGTGAAGAAAAGCAAAAAAAAGGGTTATACTTAAGAGCATTGTTTGCATTTCACACACAAAATGCAGGTTGTTGATGCTCACTTAATGTACTGCTCAGATTTGTTGTATTTCTTTGCCAGATATTTAGCGGAGGCCTTGCTTGGGATCTTGACGAAGGACAGCTCTTTGCTGTATCTGGTCATGTTGCACGGCGTCTCACACACACAGAAGTCGTTGTCTCTCTCCACCAGGAAGTCTGAAGAGAAAAAAAAACCAGAGCTCAGTTTGACCTTTTGAACAGACCTCCCTATTTACTGTAATAAGCACTTCATTATCAGATGTACTTTTGTTAACAATGACATCACCAGTAAAAGAAAGTCTAACCAGGGACAGGGGCTGCAAATGAGCCCTGGCTAGAAACCTGCAGCACATTTTGTCGAGTTTGTAATTGTAAAATGCTAAATGTCATGGGATGTGTGTGTGTTTTTGCATTGGTTCCTTAAAAGATTCACATTAAACGTGGACAAAGCCTTTTTCTTACCGAGAGCTGGGTCAGCACATTCTTTGTACAGCTCGGGGGTGCAGTAGGGAGCGTCGCCTGCAGCCAAACGAAAAGAAAAAAAAACTCATTAGTGATATTTCCTTTCTTTGAAGTACATGCAGTATTTTTGTATTATTCTTAGGCAGGTTCCTACCAGGCATGTGCACCATGCGGCAGTTGCAGTTGTCCACCAGGTATCGTGTCTCACAGTCGATGCGACAGGCTGTGATGCTGTAACTGTCGAAGAAGTCTGAATCCATCGCAGACACTTTACAATCTCCCCAGGGAGGGGGGAGGTATATCAGCTGCAACACACACACACACACACACACACACACACACACACACACACACACACACACACACACACACACAATATTAAAATAAATAGTGTGAAGAAAAAAACTGTTTGCTGCCATTTAATTGGAATGAATCAAGCAAGTAAAAGAAAACTAAATATAATCAATGCTTTGAAATGACTTTAAAGGATAATTCTGGTTGATCTAATTTTTAGTTTTCACCCTTATAAAAAATATTACGCACTTTTTATCAAATATATTTTAGAAAGTATAAAAAACAAACATTCATGAATCAAAGAAGGGACGCAGTAACTTATAGAAGAACGTGTTGTACAATTAAAAACATAAAACTGCTAAATAAAATAAATAAATACATTAATTTCCCTCTTTTAAAGTTAACAAAGCTATACTGAAAAAAACATCACGAGAGAGGTCAGGAGATCATCCTGGTTTTCAGACAAACCTGGTGTTGGGCAGAGCTATTAAACAAATCCCACTTGTATAAAAAAGATTTAAGTTTGTACCCTCTGTTCCTGGCAGGACACAAACGTCTGAAACCCGGGCGCCACTCCAAACCCGAGCTGGTCGATGAAGGACGGCTCGTCCTGACTGTGGATCTGAACTTTGACCCCGGCTTCAAATGAAGTCTCATCTGCAGGAAATCAAACAATGTTTGGGGAGAATTAGTCACTGATGAACCCAGACACTTAGCAGAGTTAGAGTGAAGAAATGTAACTTCATGTAAGTGTAAAAGTGTAATATTCTTGTCCTGTGCTTGAGTATTTTTCCATTAGATGCAATTAATTACTTGTCTACTTCATCTCAAGTATTGTATTTTCTTACTCCCCTACATTAAGAGTTTTAATTACTTTTCATTTGACTGATATGATGCATTGCTGTAGATTTATCAATCCAATAAAGGATAAAGGAGTAAAATCATTTGCAGAATGACTTCTTCTCATTTGATAGTCTAGTCTTTAACTTTGCTAAATACTCACATACTTTACATAAGGTTTGAATGTAGGAATTGTAATTGTAGTGGGGTGCTCAAAGTGTTTTATTAGTACTTTCACGAAAGTTAAGGATCTGAATACTTCATCTACCACTAATGAGTTTCACACTCTTGGGTATAAACATCTGCCCGAACACTTACAGATCTCACAGATCTACCAGCCACTAAAATAAGTGAATAATGCACCCCACCCCCCCCTCACCTGTTTCTCCCCAGATAGGCAGGTATTCATCCTGCTGGATATCCAGCATGAGCTCGAGTCCATTACCCATACCCCCCTTGGTGGTGAAGAGGGGAGTGCGTCCATCACCGCCGGCATTGAAGGTGTAACACTTCCCGTAGCGAGTGAAAACCTGAGAGACACATGAGGGACATTATTTTATAAGCTCTGCAAAAAAATTCTTAGCAAGGCTTTTCCACTGGGTGTCAGTGTTTGACTCTATTTCTGATATGTGAGTGTGTATGGGAGAGATAGTGTAAGAGGATCAGAGGATGTGTGACAGGAGTGAGAGAAGGAGTGTGACCAAAATGAAAAAGGAAGAAGGGGGAAAGTGGAGGACTTCCTGTGAGGTCTGTGAGTTACACAATGAAACCTGTGAGGTGATGGAGACTGTCAGCCCGGTGATTTAACAATCCCTCACATGCTCTTTATGGCACTTTATAATGGACCTGATGTTACCATGGAGGCCTCGCATCCCAATCGGGAAGAATGTAGCGTTAATTTTTAAGGAAAGCCAAGACATTCATGTTAGATTGAAAACTATCGGCAAAAGCAGAACACCTTTAAACAGCATTTAAACCATGATGCTGATTGACTGTAAATAGACTGATGCATATGCAGCTTTCTTTAGTGAGGAGTACATCTTGCATTAAAAGCGTTTAGTGTCGTGAGAGTCATATAACCTATGCAGGGAGAATAAGGGGGAGAGTGGGAGAGCAGGGAGCTCCAGAGAGCAGGGACGTAAAGTGAAAGAGACAGAAAGAGAGAGAGAGAGGGAGAGAAAAATGGAGAGTTTAGTTGCCATCGCTCGAAGCAGGCTATTGTTCAGCGTTATGGCACAGAATGACATATCTATAATTAGAAACAACAAACAAACCAAGTAATTGTTGAGAATGAGTTTGGTCCTGCCGGGGGAAATTTCAACACTTTGGCCATATATCATGTACAGTCAGCGAGAGACTGCTGGTAGTAAGAGCAACACATCAATCGTAGGAGGAGGGGAAAAAAACCTTCAGCGCCATCAAGAAGGGCAAATAAAATGCACGGCAAGCCGGAAACAATATGTGTTCACACATTTAGAGTCATTCTGACAAACCTGTAGGTGTTAGTCAGTCTTTGAGAGGACATTTTGTGAGTTTACCCTGAGGAACCAGTATACTAAACCCCCCCATCCTCCCTTCTCCTTTGTGGTGTCTGACCATTTCTGTAACTTTCCCACCAACAATCAAACTTTCACACCCACTTCACACTGTGATTAGCCAGCTGTGTGGATTTGAGAAAGCCTCAGCACTGCTCTCTCCAGATCTCCTTTTTCTCATTTGTAAAGGAAACCATTTCTGTTATTTTTCATGTGAACAATGGAGTACAACACTATGAATTCCCTCAAGGAGAGATTGTCTGAAAATGTTAATGTGACCAACTTTTTAGGGAAAATCTAATCTTCTATCTCTTATGATGTTTGGTTTATCACTCCGTCTGAGATATGACTGCCTTCTCTTGAACAGAATGGAACGACATGGAACCCAGCTTGTGGTGCTCAAATCACCAAAATAAAATTATCTCCAGACATGATATTTGTAAAGATACATTACGGCAGAGTTTTCAAATGTCATTTTTGGGCGCTATGAGCAAGTGCCATCTATTTTTATTATATCTTAGGGAACACATCTCCACAGTCAATGGGTGTTTCTCAATGCCGAGGAAGGCTGCTCATGAGCCACTATTTCAAGCATACTACATCATTGAGTGCCGCCGAAGGACTGTTCCAATGTCCAGCATACTTAGAATTCTACCGATTCTACTTAGTAGCGAGAAATTTCGAGGCTGCACATGATTAGACTCCGCGGTCTTAAAATCCCCACAATGCTTTGCGCACGGACCAATTTCCAAATCTTTGGCGGAAATTACGCTCCATTTAAGGCGGGGCTTCTCATATGACGCACACCTGCACACCTGTTAGCCTGTTCCAACATTCTTCGTTTTCCGAGGCTAGGAAGGATTCTTGCCTCGCTTCTGAAGCAAGTGACTCGGAAGTCATGTGCTACCAAGCAAGCGTCCTCGACATTGAGAAACACCCCAGATCTCCAACACTTGGCAACTCACATCAAAACAATTACCTAAAATCTGGTGAAGTGTTTAAGTGTTGGACACATTGAGATGATGACCTGATTCTGTTGGAAGATGCCAACCAGGAGTCATTATGAGTTATCCTCTGAGGACCACAGATGTCGGCACAAAATGTCATGGCAATCCATTGAGATTTTTCAGTCTCAGCCAAGCGGTGCCTCTACTGTCATAGACACAGACCCATTACCAAGAGTTAAGCAGCTAGCTAACAATCATCCAGTAAACACCATAGTTAACTTATCTTCTCTCCTCCACCTGCTGCAGGTGGCCAGCACGGCTCATTCATTCACTTATTGATCTGCGAACCCGTTAAACATCTCTAGGAACTAACCAGAGAGGCTCGATCCCTTTCCCCACAAATGAAAGCATAAATGTGTCAGATCATACGGTGGCTGCACTCACTTTACTTCATAAATAAATAAATCATGACATAAATGTAAAATCCATGTGTACATGATGTTCACCAGCATCTTGATCAATACACAGAAGTGAGGGGATGTCAGGTGACACTTGTTCTCTGTCTCTTGTTTGAGAGTGGATGTGACAGAGGTGGTAAGAAAGAAAACACTAGACATGTATAATGCAAAAACTTCACACAGCGTGCATACTGCAGCTGCTTGTTCTGCTTGTTATGAGGAATTAATAAATGATTGGCCATGTATGAAAAAGCTTTTGTGCAGCAGACATCATATGAGGAATAACATGAGTTGAAACAAAGAGACAATCTGACTTCTGTAGTTTACTGGTGGTGACATGTGTATCCTTTTAAAAATCTTTTAGTAATAATACATGTATTTCAAAAAGATCTAGCCTTTATTTCCACAGGATTTCATAGTTTACCGTCTGCAGTTTACAAACAGGCTTGAAGCTTCAAAGGTCTGGGCTCAATAAAGTTGCCACTCACACACAATTGACCATGTATTGAAAAGCACTCACCAAAACTCTGCACAATTTAATCATTTGCACATAATTATACATTTCTGTATTTCGGAGCCAAATCAGATTTTAAAAGAATCTCTTCTTCAAAAAATCCATGCACTTTCCCATCCATTTGGTGAAGTCTGCCATCTGTGAGCTGCTAAAGGAAGCCTCAGCAGGTTCAATCCAATCCATTAGAGCGCTGTTGTTTTATGAGAATGTTTTCAAGACTTTAAAGCTGTCTCCGATAAGTGCCAACACTTTCACTCTTATTATGCCGTACACTTAAACAGGCATCACTGGAAAATGCTATTTAAATGCAACAGCTAGCAGACAGCAGCCCAAGGTGAACAGCACTAAAAACGTCCCCTTTTATTGCATCCCACTGTGCAGTTTGTGTAATTTAAGACTCCTAATCTCACAAGGATTTCAGTTGACCTGGAAAAACTATAGTGGGCGCCTTCAGACACCAATTAACTTTATGAAAGTAAATAAAGAGATTCATTTTAATATCACAAATAGTCTAGCAATGTCAGCAGATATGTGGGACTGGAATACAAAGAGAAACATCACCATGCTAACATAAATATTTACTTCTCAAAGTATTTGAAGATCTAAAATGTTGACCTGATAATGACAAATGATACATTCCCAAGGGGTTAAAATCTGTCTCTGTTTAATAGTTAATTCATCTCTTATTTCCTAAAATGTGTCAAAAAGTCATTTACATTTTTATACCAAAATCTCCCTTTCTTTCTTCTTCAAAACATTAAAATATAATGATCATTCATTTTAAACTCAGGGGAGGGTATTTAACTATTAGGATATAATCACTGTCATATATCGTCATCATAGAGAAATACACTAGTTGTAGTTTTTGGAATTCCACTAAGAAACACTTTTGTTTACATTTTTGAAAATATGGTGAAGGTTATATTTATTCACTTTAACCCTTATTTACATTTTTGGAATAGCCTTGACAAGTTTTAAGACAATCCATCTGATAGAGGTTTTTTACTTTTACTTTAAAATGTCAGTCTAATGATGCTACTAACATTCAAGGGGATCACCAAATGAAGGGGGACAGACCACCTGGGAACCATTAACGTTTGGTCGATTAATGGCAACTCAGCCAACACAATACCAAAGTGTAGGAGGGATGATTATTCAGACAGGCTGCTGCTGTGTGTGTTTCAACCCGATGAAAGCTACACGCCAACAAAGCTATGGTGGACTCCACTCCTACGTGACTTATTATTACAGTTCACACTCTTTGTAATGGATGATCTTGGAGTCAAATCACCAACGTTTGAAACCAAAGGATACGAAATTGAAGGAATAAAAGCATCAGAGCCAAACCGCCCCCTCCTCTGTTTGTTTCTGATGTAATTGCCGTCTTACCACGCTAATTATCAGTACAACTCAAAGAGAAACAACACTATAGGAAGTGAGGAAAGGAAAGCCAGAGGTCCAGTGGAGCTTTTGTATCTGTGTAATAATGATGCCCTGAGTCACTGGTTGTCAAAATAAAGGAAAATAAGAATGGGTAGAGGCAAACCACTCGGCTCGCGGGGAGAACGGATAACTCAAATGTTTAACTTTCTCTTAGTGAAAAGAGGAAGAGCAAAGGTCTAAAAACACAACAGGGATAAAAGCTGCCAGATATATCTGCCATAATGCTTTCAAAATGGACAGAGAAAGGAAAACAAGCGACTACTTTACATTCTATCTACATGTTATCTGCATTTTTTAGTCCATCCCTTTTTAAATTGATATTCTTGGTTCCCAGAGGATAAAGCTCAGAGACTTTTGTGACCGCCATACTTTCTCTTCAAGTGCGGAATTTTACACTTTTGTTTTTTATTCAAATGTTTATTCAAACAACTATTAGATGGATTGCTCTGGCCTTTGGATGGATTTCAATGACCCTGCTGATTTTCTTTACTGTTCATCCAAGCAAAGTCCTCCATGTCAACCTCATTGTGGTGCCAGGAAATTATGGGATTAGGATACATCCTCTGGTGAACATGAACCTCTGTAAAAAGTGATGGCATGTCCATCTTAATAACTGCAGCTCAAGCCAACTAAAGAATCTGGGACCATTCCTAAAACAGCTGGCTACTGTAGTTTTTAAACATACAAACAAACAACATACCTGAACAGGATGAAATGGGTTAGGGATTAGTTTCAGGAGCGAGCTGTCTCAGGCTTTCTCTACAAACCCAATTGATCCAATTGACTTTTTGACCAGTATTCTGCAGAACTGTAAAGAGGCTGAACCATTGTTTTGTTTTTGAAAGTCAAAGCTAGAATAATGATTGGGAATTGATCATGCAAATCGAGGCCGTCTTGTCCAGAGCATTGACTGTTGGACGACCCCTCGGGGTGTTATGATCACCTAATTTCTTCGGACGGCCACTCCTCCTGAAG